GGTTGGTAATGGTAAGCTACCTTGATCGCTTGATCGCGACCGTGCCTAAGGATTAGAGGCACCAGCGTTAGTCAGAACTCAGAATCGCCGTTCTAAATCCAAATCTAGAAGGGCATGTTCCAGAACAGAGGGCGACGTTCAAAAAATCTGACCGATTAGGCTATGGAGAGCTAAGCCCTCTCTTTCTCTCTTCTAGAGAAGAGACTATGTTTCATGTTTGTTCTCTAGAAGCCGGCGGCAAATTTCGACCTATTGCGGTTGCAGCTCCGCTAAACCCGACGAATGCATCCACCTAGAGCGATCTCGAGCTTTCTGAAAGGAAACTGACCCAACGTATCCGAAGGTGACACTTGGCTACTGTACATGTAAGCAGGAACCAAAACTAGTCTCCTCTTTTTTTTCCCCCCCGCTTCTGTGACGTGAAACGCAAGTGAAGCTGATCTTAAAATGGGGTTATGATCGCCTCGTCTGCCTGACTTTGTAAACGCTGACCAAGGTTTGGTGTTAGTGGTCGGTGATCTTGACGGCGACCGGATCGCTGCAGTAGGGGCAGTTCCCGAACAGGACATCGAACGACCTGCCAACACGAGGAAGACAGACATCAGGCTCGTGACAAAATAATCAGAGGATCAACACAGCAACAACTTCACTATGAGGATTTTGATAACATCGGTTGGTTCAGACGTACTGCCTGGTCGAGGTGATGGAGCGCAGCCAGTCTCTCAGGCACACCGAGTGGAAGGCTCTGCTGCAGCTGGGGTTCTCGCACGTGTAGTCCGTCGCACACCCGCTGTGAGCACCGAGTTCGTCATCTGGGGGATCAGAGAAAGAAGAACTGTGATCAAGATTCAGGGACCATGATGTGAACCAAAGGGGCCGGGTAGTACAGACACATGGTAAATTCGCTCACCAACTGGCAGATGCTTGGCATAGCATATCCCACAATCAGCTTGCTCGTCGTCTTTGACGTTACCAGTGACCGAAGGGGGTGCAGGCAGTGCAAAGTCCAAGACGGCTGCCAAATTCTCATGAAATTTTTTCTTTGCATCCCTAGTGATAGAGAGAAGATCATAGGTTTTAATCACAATCTTTTACATGCACATTAATGTAACTCTAGAGAGATTTCAGTTATCTGATCTACTACTGGTATGACACAGTAGCCGTAGATCTACAGCAAAGAAGATACAGGTGCAACAGAATTTATGTTTAGCACATGTTACATAGGCAAGCTCAGTAAATATATTTTAATGAAAAAAATTACAATAGTACATCTACATAAGTAATATAAGAAAATGTGTACAATGCAATGCAGGAAATATGTGAGTATACCATTTTTTACGATTCTTTCTCCAATTTATTATCAGCTGATCAAGTTTGCCATCTGTGCCCAAGAAGCGACACCTGGAAGAAATGGTGATGCATGGGATCAAACAATGGTTGGCTTCAAATAGAGTCCTGAAATCTGATCTTACTCTGGTAAGGAGTTGGGCTTGCGTGCATCAACATGCAACAAAATGTAGCAATTGTCACCTGATGATTTAGGCACAAATAGCAATTTAAGCAAACATAAATAAAAGGAGCACAACTATTAATTCCAGATGAGTAAGGGAATTACCTAAAGATATATGACGATGAGACATAGCATAGGACGGCTTTGTTGGATCAACTATCCAAAGGACCTTATCAATCTCGTCCATCGTAGACCAGAACTCTTGTAAGATCTTCAGGTGCTGATTGTGTGAACCCAATAATATAGCATGACACAACATAACAATCTATGAATAGGACAACCATATGATTCAAGCAATGAAAAAAGAAGTTCACCTACCGCTTGGAATTGGCAAAGAACATCTTTCAGTCTTGAGCTTTTTGACCACTGTATTTTTGGGAGATATGGTATGTCCTGTTAATGAGACAAGTTCAATTATATGGCATATGGCTATGGTTCTGAAATTTCATGTAACTGCAAAATATAATAATTAATAAAACAGGCCTAGTTTATGGAAATATCAGGATAGAGACTAACTGCAGAGACTGAAGGAGGACTTTCAGGATAGCCCATGGGCAGTGTGATCTCCAGTAAATGAATCCGTCCTCCTTCATCCCTGGCAGATACATAAGCCATAATTTCACACAATAGAATAGAATTACAAAGAGGCTGCTACACTTGTGATTGTTGCTCATATGCATTACAATGTTCAGGCCGGTCTCTTTTTTTAGCATAATTGGCAGGTGCTCTCCCTTTTCATTTAGTTGAGAGCAAACGTAAAGGTTTTGCTACATAGACGAAAGAAAAAGAGATATAGAAGAATAAGAAAAGAAAACAACTGTATTTACATCTGCCCAAATGGGCACCGGCTCCTCTGACTACACTGTCCTCTGAAACAACTATCACTGACAAACTTCAGTACGTAATACATGCGCTAGCCTTGCTCAACGGTAGTAGCTTTTTCTCCAAACAATCGTACAATATAAATATAAATATAAATATAAATATAAATAAAGAGGTTCATGCCGAATTGCCTTGGCAGCACATGAGAGGAATCCTTACACAACGCGGAAGGTGAGACAGGACACTCCATCGTCCCCTGTGGCGCTCACTACCTGCTCCCACCCGATCTCTTCGATCTGCACGAGCGAACGTCCAAATAGAACATGAACGCGATGTCAGCAAACCCCCACATGGGGAAAAAAAAAAGAAACCCAAAAAAATTTGAAACCGATTCCCTTGCGGCATCAGTCGGCGCAGGCATTTCGTCGAGCGGCTGACGTACCTGCGCGAACACGTAGCTGTAGAACGCGGGCGGCCGACGGGGAGGTGGCCCCGCTTCCGCCTGCGCATCCTGCCGAGCATCCGTGTAAGCCTCCTCGCTCGCCCACGCTTGCGGTGTCGCTGCCGCGCGCGAGAGCGGAGCCGGCAACTCCATTCCTAACCGGCGCCAAGGATGGAAGTTGTTCCACTCCAATGCGATACTGACCGCGGAAATTGCGTGAGGACCATCCGAGAGCTAGGTGCCGAGGATGGATTAAAGGCCCAGATTTGCCTGGGCTCAAGACAGTCCGAGCCAAACGGCCCAGAATCAGTCACGGTGAGCGTACATGCACGGCCCAGTCCACCAGACAGGAGACCGCCGCCGCCCAGAAACGCAACCCAAGTCACGCCGCCCTCTCCGCCGCTATGGAGTCACGGTCACGGAGAGCCGACACTTCTTCCCCTCCTGGCTGGCCGGCCGGCGGCCGGACTGCGGCACCGCTCCCGATCGCGTAACTCGTAAGTAAAACCCCTCCTGCACAGCCCAGCCTCGTCTCGTCTCCTTGTCGAGTAGATTCTGCTGGTGGCCTGGCGTGGTGCTGCTGCTGCTGCTCAGGGACCTGATTGAATTGCATGGTGCGTGCACTGCAGAATAGTACTCACCCTTCTTAGAATAGTTTTTTTTTTGGAAGAGTTAAGTACAATGGCACTTTGGCAGTGGATTTGTTGGGTTGCCTCGCCTAGTTCCCCTTATCTACGTATGCACTCGAGTCGTCCGGACATCTCTGATTAGTGTTGATCTGTTTAATTTCATCTATATAGCGTCCATGTTACTGAATTTTCACAATTAATCGTTCATAGCATCATTGATCACACATAAAAATAAAACTCAATAGGACCCATGAGTGGTAGGAATGCAGACAAAAAAACTACATTCCAGAAATAATAAAGTGCACCTACTTTCCCTAATTTTGTTTGGTGATTGTTTCTGGGCCAGTTTTTGACGACTATCGAATTGTAAAGTGGATTTCATTATTGTGTTTCTGTTGCCGAGATCGACAGGGTCCCTTCCGAGCGAGCTTTTTTTTTTTGGTTCAAGCCTGTCGAAACTGGTCAGGACGGTTCATGAAAACTGATTAAGATCGGTTTTCGCAAAGGTGTTGCAAGGAGCACCCCTGCAAGCTGCACGTGGACCTGTTCATGTGGTAGCATGATTTAGCGTCAACCGTAGTGGCATCTAGGCTCCATTTTGACCTATATCGGCACGTTCGTTTGCGCTTTATAAGTCGTACTTCTTCAGTCAACGAATAATATTTTTCTCTCATATCAAATCAGTCAATAGTACTTTCAGTCATGACTTATTAGCCAAACAAGCCCAAACGAACAGGGCGTATATTTTGATCCCCAAACGAACAGGGCGTATATTTTGATCCTTGTCTTGAAACTACTGATTCACATATTTTGGTCTCTGAACCTGTTAAGGTATTTTTATCTGCATTCCTACCAGCCATCTATGGGAAATCAAACAGACCATTGTAGATTCAAAGGACATCACTAGGACAACATGATGTTAAGGCCATAGAGTTTAGCTCTTTAGAGAACTGAAGATGAAGATAGGTCAGGTAAAACGCCATTCTATCCTCTAAGGTGGAAAAATATAAATGAATGACAAAGCTAACTGAAGCCCCCTGTTTTCCTGTTTCCTGTGTTTTTATTGTGAAAATAAACATTTTCATATATTCATGTGAAACTTTAGCGTTCCAAAGGATCTGATACTAGAACTAGAATATCTTGGAAGTAAAATGCTATTCTATGGTCTAAGGTGGGGGGAAAAGCATACAACAAAACCAACAGATACTAGAACTAGAATATCTTGGAAATAAAATGCATATACTGAAATGACGAGACCTGAGCAGTATCATTAGATTAGGCAGAAACTAGCTAGATCATGTAAATTATTCAAACATGTAGCAATCAGCGATCCATCTGTCAGGTTACGCATACAACCACACAAAAGCAAAAGCACACCACCACATTGTGGAGCAGCACCTAAAGCATAGTTCATGCACGGAAGCATAGGCGCATAGATAGAGTAGCAATGGTAACAAAATAATTAAGCATGGCCTCCTTACAGCTCATGCATGCGGCACACAACATTAGATAGCTAGCCCTGTCTTCAGTACTTCAGACACTTAGAACCATTAGTCTTTAGCTAGGTCGTGGTGTGAAATGGAAGCGATGATGGTGGCTAGCCAAGCCGGTAGAGCCCGCCATCGTTGATGAAATGGCCGTCCATGTAGAAGGCGTTTGTAGTGTGGTACCCGTCCATCATCAGGTGGTGCATTTCCTCAGACGGCTTCCAGTGCCGCTTCCGCTGGTTGATGAACCAGTTGTTGATCTGCTTCAGGTCAAGCCCGGTAGACTCAGCCAGTGCCACCTTCTGAGTCTCCTGCTCACCCATGTGAAGAGTTAATACATATCCAATAAGGAAACACAGTATATGCCGTATACAAAACATCCAATAAAATGAACATATAAAAAAAAGTTTATTGTAAGCTCCTGGATTTAATGCTTGTTTCACTTAGTGTTAGAACCAAAGCACAAGTTTGGGGCTAGAATTTCAGTTTCATTAGCCTTACCACAACTATGGCAGGTTGGGGATACATATAGGGTAACTTGCTTGCAACTTAAGAAAGCTACAGCATATTCTAGAGATGCTAAATCAAGATAAAGATAAAGATAAGGGCTGACACAGCCACCAACTACTCTAGATAAGTATCCTAGGTAGATATGGACAAGACTTATAGCTGTCACTTAGAACCCTGAACTTGAAAATTGCATATTAGGATCTTCACTTATACAAGTATCAACACATACTTCAGAGCACTATAATTTTCTGTTCAGCCATGTAGTTCCCAAGTGAAACCAATGGAAACTCTTTAATCTGTATCTGAGAGAAGGCTTTATATTTCAGATAAATTTAGTTGCTTAAAATTAATGGTATTTAGCAAGACTGCTGTAGAAGTTTCAGAATACCTTAAATAAGGTTAATACCAATAATTGCCCGCCACTCCCTGATCAATAGTAGACTGGCATATTTTGACTCACTTATTACATGCTAATATGTAAATTAGGGAACAGACAACCATGGAAGATCAAGGACCCATATCTAGCTTTGATTTGCCAAATGTGTTTTATGCATGCTTCCCCTTGAATTACCATGTGCAATCAGCACTAACATTAGATTTTTACTGGCTATAAAAAGCTCATGAATACTTGGCATCAAAATCATGTGTTGCCAACAATTTTAAAAATGGAAGAATAAAAAGAAGACGTACTGAGGGGTAAGGCCATTTGTAGTGCAGATCCCACCAGCTAAGGAGCTGCTGGCGAGCCTCCTTAGGGAGCTTCCCTTTCTTCTTCTTCTTTGACAGTTCTTGCTTGAGCGAGCTTAGATAGCCACTGTATTTCTTCAGGAGATGGTGCTTGAGCTCTTGGTCTACACCATGTACATCAACTTCAGGGAGCTCTGTCTCTCCTCCGCTACCTTCTTGATCCTCCTCAGAAGAGCCTTCAAGCATAACAGATGGAACTGTTAGCTACAACAAAAGAAGTAATCAAGCAGCATTCATAGCCAGATTAGAAAACATTTGACTGGCAAAGCACAAGTACTGAACTTATTTACTAAAAATCTAAAATACATGTTCCATACAAGCAAAGCAATAAACAGTGCTTTTCCATGTGCCATAGTTAAACAAGTGAACTTAATTATGATTTGACGAATGTGAAGTGTGATAATCTAAGTTAAGTAGCACAGCAATCTGCTTCTATACAAAACAAATATCATCCAACTCCCACGTGACATCAGTCTTGGGAATTTGCATTGGGCTATTGTCCACCAATCAATCTAACATCTCCAGTATACCCATTGAAGTACAGATATCACGGACATGTGCATTGGCACTATTTTCGTTTGTGAACCTAGTGCATTCCTAAGACGAAAATAAAAAGTATGGATGTTTCTGCACATATTACTTTGTTTGCATGATATTTTTATCATTTTTATATTGTGGGTAAAAAATTATATTGCAACTGTATGTCCACACCATGTTCTTTTCCCAACAGTGAACACTGCATTTGTTTTTCTATATTAGCATCTTAATATTTAACTTATGCTTTTCAGAATAGGCATAAATGACCCCTGTACACTTTTCGTTTTGCCAATTATCTATATCCATCTTGATGGCGACATATTTGGAAGCAATATAGAAATAAGCAAAGGAACACAGGTTTAAGACTTGAATAAAATGTTTGCCTATGTAAGAGCACCCTAACATATATGGGAAAATGAAGTATGTTCTCCAATATTAAGTTACAATTCATTGCTCTAAGAAAACAACTCCGCTCGTTGTTTCAACATATCTGGTGCCTAGCCCAGGAGCACAGGTATAGGAGGGCTGTGATAAGCTTGGCAAGCTAGTGCAAAACCCTGCCGCGCATACTAAAATAAATAACTTAGCTATCTTTAGATAAGGTCAAGTAGAAAATAACGATACACATTCCGAGGCCAAGATCCAGGGTGGCAACCTTCTTTTAGTTTCATTTCATACACCACAGTGGTCGGATCTTGTGCTACTCAGTCCTGTGCATACCTAGCACGAGTCCATGACTCCATGACCCTGGGTCAACCAGGGTTTGTCATTTGTGAGCATGCTACTATGCAGGACTATCTAGCCTGGAATGTTGAGAAAATATCTGATATGTTTGGAAAAAAAAGAGTAACAGGACCTTCTTTAAACCAACATTCATATATATATTTTTTTGCATAAAGGAAATAAATATTTTATGTTTGTGCATTCTGACAGAAGCAAAAGTGAAAATATTTTTTATTTTGAAAATGACTTTTGAGCATGTGACCCGATATGAGACTCTGTTCGTCGTGCTGTTAATTGGGACAAATTAAAGCAGTATGAGGTCACGACAGATACATATATAGTAATAGTAAATGACCATAATGATTTAATGATCAATCAAAACATATGCCAAACGTGTGTGGTTGTCTTTGAAATGAAGAAAGAACCAGTTGCTCACTAAAACATCATTAGACAATATGGATGTAGAAACCCATGAAATGTTTTGGGAGTACCACGGGAATTAGACAAGAATTTTGTGAAAATATTTGGTGGCCTTGTTGAATATGTGGAAAACCAAAAAAAAAGAAAATGAAGAGCATCACAGCTTGTACATGTTACAACAATCTAAAAAACTTCTGGAAAAGATTTCATGATACACTTACGAAATAGTATTGCCAAAGGAACCCTTAGGCGGAGCTGTTCCATGGTCATTCTAAATGCTTTTCAAATATTTTCCTAGAGTTTCATTTCAATACATTTAAAGCCCTTGATTCCTTTTCCTTGTTCCTGACAGCTGGGTTTTAAGGTAAATAATGTTCTATATTTTAAAAAAGTTTGTGTGTTTAAATTTATTAATGGTTTGTGGAAGATATTATCAAACAATTCCACTGTTAAAGAAACTGAAAAAAAGCAAGATGGTATGTGATAAAGAACTCTAATCACAACATTTTATGTGATACTGAATATTGAGATAAATAGAATAGAATCCATGAAAATGATAAAACCAGCAGCAGAAGTGACGAGAATCAGAATCCGGTCAATCTGAAAAAGAAAATAAAAACGAATGCACCTGACTCCAGTAACCAAGAATACAAACATGCACGAGACCCAAATCAAATGAAAGATTTCACACAGATGGAAGTGCCAGATTGTTCCTTTCCTCCAGTTGCGTTATCTTTTCCACTAGCGTTCCAGTGCAAAATCCGTCGGTTCTTTTTTCATCCTTTTGTTTTATGTTGCTTGCTTCTGGTATCTTATTTGGCCTTACCTCGAGACAAATGGAAACTCGTGATATCTCTGTCCCTGCTTTTGCATGACCTTGAAAGAGTGCATGCAACCAAGAATCTTGGAGTACATGGGCAACATCAGTCAGAAAACGCAGTGTTGTTTTGCCATTAAGGCCTTGTTCAGTTCCATGGTGTAAAGTTTTGGAGTGTCACATCGGGTGTCGCATGAAGATGTTGCATGGGATGTTCGGATAATTCGTCAGTAAACCGCGAGACGAATTTATTAAACCTAATTAATCCGTCATTAGCACATGTATTAATATAGCACCGCTTTGTCTAATCATGGCCCAATTAGGCTTAAAAGATTCGTCTAAAAGTAGTCGCAATCTGTGCCAGTAGTTATTTTTTTAGTCTATATTTAATACTTTATGCATATGTCAAACATAAGGCGTAAACTTTTGGAGAAGGAATAAAACTAAGGCCAAATTTAGTAGTTTGTCTGTGGCCCTCATGACCAAAAGAGATTGTATTATATTTAAGAAAAGAATGCATGAGGTCTAAAAAAAAGAGTCTACCGAGATGGTCAGAGAACAGTTGGAGCTGAGATGAAATCTGAGTTGACAGCTGAAAAATACGAACGCAGTTGGACTTGGACTCGCCTCGAAAGCATCCAATGTACCTTGACCGGCATTATTTATGATAGAATGCACGGGGAGAAGTCTGTCACAAAATACAGGGACATAGAAGTACTGATAGGATATAGCAGACGCATATAATAATATAAGCCTAGCAGATCACACAGCCATTGCAAGAGAGATCTCACATCAAATAATGGTGGCCGTTCAGCGTTCATGAACACTGTTTCTATGGTTCGCGAGGCACACAGACCATTTTGTCCACTGCATGGACCGGTCAGAACACAAAAAACTGAGCCGCATATCCTCATCTGCCTGCCTATGCATCTCTGAACATTCTCAATTTTTTTGCAGCATTCTTGGCTTCCTAGGCCATTTTTGCAGCATTCTACGACATCAGATGGCAGCTTCTTCGACATCAGATGGCAGCTTCCTAGGCCATTTTGGTTCGAGAATGCTCCAATAATCGTGTGTGTTGCTGTCGTATTAGCCAAGTAGCCAGTGCTCCAGAACCGAAGTGAAAAACTCTGGGCTGGGAGTAACTGGTAGCACGAGTTGTTACTATAGCCTCGTGATAGATAATTAGAAAGGCCCCTGCCATGGATCGTCTCGATCCACCTAATGTGTTCATTTTAAATTAGCAAAGACTACTCAGAAGCAGATGGTCAGATCTGTGTCCTGTGCTGGGAACGCATCATGCACAACAAGAACATCTGGAAGACCACACCACAACACTGTAGATTCTAGCACCCTGTTGGCTTGTGTTTCTCTCTCGAACCAAAATCAGCATCAGCCAGCTTATAAGGCCACGATCTAAGCGAACAGGGGAGAAAGATGACAAGAATGTTCTGGCTAGCTTGCGTGACAGATGGGGGATGACTCCCCATCTCTCTCTCTCTCCCGGTTTCACACACCACTATACGTGTGTGTACTCGTGTTTCACTGACATACGCCAGTGAGACTCCTCGGCCATGGACTGTTGCTCGCACAATGCCACAGCACGCAGTACTGTTGCCCTTCCCCAAACCCTAGAACAAGGAAAGAGCTCCGTAATTCCCTGGGGTTCCCATCATGGGAAAAGATGGCTGCCTGAACCAGGAACTACTTGCAGGACACATGCACATATTCCATTGGAAATGGAATCAATCAATGGAGGACGACGAACAAGGCATCCATACCAACAGCCAAAGTAGTAGTAGCAGCAGTAAAACACAGGTGATTTCATCCTAATCTCTATGCAGTATTACAGCAGAACGCAAGGAAGGAATGGGCCGGATGGAGTGTAGTTTGAAAAGAAACAGCTTTCACGTGTGCTACTGCACTGCTGCACATGTGTGAGGACTATTCCTTTCCAGCAGAAGCAAAGATCGATGGAAGCCAGAGAGAAGAATCTCACAGATGCATGGCCAGGAAAAGCAAGCAGGGAGAAGATTCTTTTGGAAACCCTGATTAGGAATGCTGCCGCATTAAAACATGAAGCACAGACAAGACATTCATCTGCGCTGCGCAGGTAGCCATACTCAAAACATGCATGTATAACAAGATGCTCTTAAAAAGGGAACCACATCAAAAAAAAAATCTGTTTTTTAGATGCAAAAAATCAACAACATATGCTCAACCAAGAAAGAGGACAGCAAGATGAACAAGAGGGCATGAAAGATGGGCAACCAAGAGGACATGAAGATCTCAACAAGAAGGCATCACTGCACGAGGAGACAACCGATCCGATCCAAAAAAAAAATCATCAGTGTAAGAGGAGCATGAGGCGCAGCAATTTCAGTACCAGAGGAAAGGATATTGCGCAGCGATCTTCCAGAGATGGAAAGCGAGTTGAGCTGCGACTCCACCCTTCGCATGAACTCCATCGCCTCCTGCAGCGGCCTCGTCAGCTCCTCCCTGAACTTCACCAGCATCTCGTGGTACGCCTCCTACGCGCAAATTAAAATCGAGTTGAAAACAACGACAAATAATGCCACCGTGCGTGAATAAACCTCGAGAACAAAACACAGAAAGATGTCTTCTTTTGCAGAAAGGGGGTCACTGACGGTTAGCTGATAGCTCACCATGAACTGGTCCAGCTCCGGCTCCGTCGCAGCGCCCAGGCCGCCGAGGGCCGTGCGCTGCCGCGCCTCCAGCTCCTGCGCCATCGCCGTCAGCCTCGCCGACACCTCCGGTGGTGCCCCCACCTGCAAACACCCACACAGCCGTTTGAGAAAGTTCTGAACACCGGATGCACATGTCTACTGCATGAGCAGCATGCATAAACTATAGTATGCTATGTAAAAGGAAGCAGAAAGTATATGCATGCGCCATGCTTGACATCAGATGTGTCGAAACTTCTCTAGCAGAACCGGAAGCATGAGCGCTAGTGCGCTACTGTTAGACTGCTACTAGTACAAGGTCTTGCTTGCCTTCTTGCACTCGAGGTAGGCGGCGAGGAGCGAGTAGTAGTGCGGGTGCGAGATGATCTTGGCCTTGGTGGCCTCGAGGTCGCCTGCGTAGGGAGACGACGACGAGGGCTCCTTCGCCTTGACGCACGCGTCGAGGAGGCTGCCGCCGTTGGCAAGCTGCAGCACCGGGTTGCCGCTAGCGCTGCTGTTCCCAGTGGCCGCCACCGTGTTCAGGGTGAGCGGCAGGCCTGCGCTCGGCGGTTGCTGCGGCGGCGGCGCAACGACGGCGCTGAGGGAGGATGCCCACGGGTGGTGGTGATGGTGGTGCTGGCCGTGGCCGTGGCTGTGGCTACTTGCGCCAACTCCAAAGTGGTGGGTGATCTCCTCCATCGGAGTGGGCGGATCTCCAGTGAAGTAGTGGTGCAGCGATCGAGCTCTCCGCCCACAGATCCCCCGCGAGCTCCTGCGCAAGCGCAAAAGGGTCGCCTGGAGGTGAGATGTTCTTGGGGCGAGGGAAAGAGGAAAAGGGTTTGGGAACGGAGAGGGAAAGGAGGAGGATGCCTCGAAGTACTATGCCTTCTCTCTCTATGCTATCATTAGAGAGAAGGGAGGGCGCGCGGCACAGTAGGGAAAAGGCTGGAGGCAATGCAGCTGCCTTTGGAGAGAGGCAGTGCAGTAGTGTGGCGTGGTGTTTGTGGGGTTTCTTTTTCAGGTCAAATCAAAAGGGTTGAGGTGGATTTGCAGGGAGTTTCTATTTTCTACTCACTCTACTCTAAAATAATATAATTCTCATTTTCTTTAAAGTCAAACAATCTCAAATTTTATTAAATCAAAAGGCTTGATGAGCTGCCTTTGGAGAGAGACATACAACATGCAATAGCTAGCACACATAAGTTATTTTAGTTTATAAATACTGCCTTCTTCTCGTAAAAAGAGTTTTTATTTTTCGTGCTGGTTAAACTTTTTAAATTTAACTAAATTTATATAAAATATTAGCAACATTTGAATCTTAAAAAAAATTAATTATAAAAATATATTCAACGGTTATCTAATGATAATATTATGTAATATATATTGATATTTTGTAATACATATTTAGTTAAAAGTTTAAAATATTTGACTTCTCGAAAAACGAGAATGATATTTTTTTATGGTACGGAGGGTGTATAGAAAAGTGTTTAGGAGCCTGCCTTGGTGCTCAACGGGCTGGTCTGCTAGTTCGGGCTCGGAAACAAAGTCGGTGTTAGGACGTGCTTGATTTCACTAGATGGCTTGCCAAGCCTCGCCTCACCTGGCTAGCAGGAGACACGAGAACCTTGCCCAGCCCTCTCAAGCTGGCAAGGCAAACCTTGCCTACACATACCTCAAGGCAGTTAGGCAATTAAAAAAAAAATAGGTAGGCAAGACAATCAAAGGAGCAAGACTGTTCTATATCCTTGCTTAAGATTATTCTATATCCTTACTTAGCAAGATCAAACAATATCTGGCCAAAAAAAACTAAGCATCCCCTTAGTGTCTGGAGTCACGTGGCAGGGTGTCTGAATTCCTTTATGTATGTGAGTACAAATAAGTAAACATGATGCTTATGCTTTGCATGACATGTGATATGGATGCATAAATGTGTTACACAAATCATATGTATTAGTTATAGGTTTAGATTACTTAGGAATACTACTTAGGCCTCGTTTAGATGCTGAAAAAATTTCAAACCGATGAATAGTACAACTTTCGTCTTATTTGATAAATATTATCCAATCGTGGACCAACTAGGCTTAAAAGATTCATCTCGTGATTTCCAACTAAACTGTGTAATTAGTTATTTTTTTTACCTACATTTAATACTCCATGCAAGCGGCTAAAAATTGATGTGATGGAGAGAGAGTGAAAAAACTTGGAATTTTGGTGGCATCTAAACAAGGCCTTAGTCATAGGTTAACATTACTTAGGAATACAAACAAGTGTGGTGGATTGGTCAAGACAGATTGTCCATTTGGATGTCACAGGTCGTCCATCAGGTCGGGTAAACCATCCGTCTAGACTTAGCAAGAATTTGGCAAGTGTTAAAACACCGTACCTCTGTTTGTACTGAAGAGTGTGTCGGACGAACTATCCATCAAGAGACAACGGTGTTCTTAAGTGAAATACGACTAATGGATGTTTACATCTGGTGACTAAAATTTAGAAAGTGTTATGTGAGGGTGTTGCATGAGGTGTTCGGATACTAATAAAATAAATAAATTACAGAATCCGTCGGTACTCCCCGAGACGAATTTATTAAGCCTAGTTAATCCGGCATTAGCACATGTACTGTAGCACTACATTGTCAAATCATAGACTAATTAGGCTTAAAAGATTCGTTTCGTAAATTAGTCGCAAGCTGTGCAATTAGTTTCGTAATTAGTCTATATTTAATATTCTATATATGTATCAAACATTTAATGGGACAACAACTAAAGTTTATGAGAAGAAACCAAACACCCACTAAGTATTGGGTGGACAGACTATCTGACAATGCGAACGAACTATTGGGTTGATCTTGCAGACTATGACTTAGTGTAGCCAACACCCTTCTCGCCCCTTTCTGCTGTGCTTTTATCGTGCCCCGAAGTGAACAATTGTAATACAAGCTTATCTTAATGTCTTGAAAGTATCTAAGAAGACATAGACATCTTCTCTACTCATTCATATCATTTACCCGTTGCTTGCTGTTGTAGGACAATTTTGATTATTAGCTAGTTCTCATCAATGGAAATTGATACCTTAGAATACTCTCGAATAAAAGCTACGTTGAAATCTGTGCGTTTGCAGATTTATTTGTCTGCCTCATTAAGCATCAACACATGTGATAGACGGAAGTGGAATACCTCATTTTGTTACAACTCTCGATGTAATTTTCTTTTAGACCCTCGAGTCCTTTTTTAGTAACGTTATAGATTTTTGTTATAAATATTATAATGCATCAGTATTAATGGCATGACATGTATAATAAATTGATCCAAGTATACATGTTATTTGCATTAGGGGCCTGTTCGCTTGTCGTAAACGATCGTAAATTTTCAACCAGAACAGTATTTTTATCTCACACCAAACCAGCCAGCAGTAATAATCCACGATCGTATACGATCGTATCAGCACCAGCCGAACATGCTGTAGGTCTTTTCTTTAGAATCGGGTGTGAGAGCTCGCTAGAGATATCTTTGGAGCCAACTCGATCTTGAAGCACTTGTTTTCCTTGGAGGTGAAGCCTCTGAGATGACTTGTTCAGAGGTAGAGATATATTTGGGCTACATATATAAAGACTAGGGACCATTATCATAGACAAAATACGCAAAAAAATATTTGACTTGACGTTTATAAGAAACAACATTAAAATACTATGCAACATTATGCTAACAGTCTCATGTTTTCATTTATTTATATATATTATATATATATATATATGAATTAGTAGCTTTGACAATGGTGATAAAATATAATGTATGGGAGTAGCCAGTGGCGGATCTACCAGGGGGGCTGCCGGGGCTCAAGCCCCCCTATAGCCGGAAAGCCCATGGAGCCCCCCTAAGCCTCTCCTAAAATTTTTCACCATTGTTGTGCCTTGAGAAGGAGAGGTTGTGTCGGATACCACAAGAAGGGGTACCCTAAGCAAGATCCAAGAATATTGCTTAAGCCTTGCTAAAACCAAAGCCAAAAGACTACTGCAAGGTCCCGACAGAATTCTCCGATTCGTCCGAGGCCTCATGCGAAACAGGCCTAAAACGTCCCGTCGAGGCCCTCTCGCCGAGACCCTCTCGCCAAAGCCTCGCCCCGAAAGGCCTCGGACGGATCTCCAATTCTCCTATTCGCTCGAGGCCGGGCTCGGCGGACGTACTCGTAACCTCCGTCCCGACCGAACTCCTCTGGCAAAACATCACGTCCGGATTAAATGCACCCAACCACTCCCGCAAACATCAGCCGCACACAGGTACAGTGCGGGCAGAACAACTGACAGGACAGGGACCGGACACAGCAGGGGTTACCTGCCACTATACTCACCACTGTGCTCCCTCCTAACACTTATACTACCCTGTGCTACCTAACCCCTGCGCCAAGGACAAAGCGGCATGAAAGGTCGAGTCCATGTCCCTGTAGCCTCAGAAACAGCAGGAGAGCCCAGCTGCTCGGTCTCTGCCTCATCCGAGACCCCCCGGCAAGGCCTCGGACGCGCCATTCCTTCTCCGCCTCGGCCGAGGCTGGGCTCGTCCCGCATTCTCGTCGCCTCCGCCTCAATTGCTCCTCTGGCAGGCCATCCCATCCGTAGACTACGGCTCCCTGCGGATGCCCATTCCGCACTTTTTCACCGGAATCGGGTACGACACAGACCACCGAGACCCCTGCGTCGTACACAGGTCACCTCCGAGGCCTCGGCACGATCAGCTCCAGCACCCGCTAAGCCTCGGCACTCCACCAGGACAAGAGTCCACCAGGCACGGCATGTCACCTACAGTGGAGGCCATACTGACTAGACGTCAACAAGGACTCTTACGACTTCAATAGCCTCGGGCATGGCCTGCGTGATGCACCGGTGATCAAGTACCAATTGCCATTCCCGACACTGTGTTGCTACAGGAATAGGCCACAGTACTGGATCTTCCTTTCTCGCTAAGGCTCCACGTGTAGCTCTCTCATGTACTCCTGGCTCCCTCCTTGTGGCTATAAAAGGAAGCAGGCAGGGCCGTTTCTAGGGATAAAAAACCACGCCAGCCCTCACGCAAAAATGCACTCACTCAATTTACGCGCGCTCCCACACTGCCTGAGAGCAACGACTCAAGCAGCCCGCACCATTCCACGTCGAGACCTGGGACTAGCTCCCTCTCTCACACAGCTTATAACCCCCTACTACAAGCACTTCGGTGCAGAGAATACAAGATCGATCTCCTAGACTGGACGTAGGGCATCGATTGCCTGAACCAGTATAAACCTTATGTCTCTTTGCATCACCATCCGAGATTAGGGGCACACAGTTCACATTTACTGGTTGGTTGAGGACCCCCCGGTCCGAAACACCGATAGTTGGCGCGCCAGGTAGGGGTATACTACGTGTAAGCTTAATCATTCTAACAAGTCCCAAATGGCAGACCCCATACGCCCACTATATCTCGGCACGATGATCTGGTTCGGGAGCCTAGAGTTCATGTCTCTAGGATACGAGTACGACATGGTACTCCTCCCACCTAGAGCTCCATCAACCGACGGTGACATCACGCACCAGCAGCCCAGGCGCGGGCGGCGCCCGAGCCGCCGCTCTCGTCACGCTCGCCAGGCGCAACGCAGGCAGGACCACCCCAACACCGCGCGTGCTCATGGTGGCGCGCCGCGTTCTGCCGGCACCCCATGTCCAGCTGTTGGCA